ACGTTTTACGATTTTATTATACCTACTAGAGCACATAGTATGTACGTTCGTGGCATTGTTCATATCCGTTGCTCTTTGTTCAACCCCGTTTTTTGGTTGGCGTTTTCCATTTAAAAAAAGGAAAATAACCGGTGTGTTGAAGGAAAACAGGAAGCTACTACAGTGTCTGTATATACGTATTTTAAATATTTGCTTAATCACAAATTATTTAAATAAAAAATAATATTTCTACTAGGTACATGCCAATAAAAGTATATATATAAATTGACGATTAATATCTATATTTTTATCTTCACGTCAAGTCTCTTACGGGATAGGCGAATGTAGAAATTGGATTTATAAATATGAATATCGGATTACAGAATGAAATCGTGACGCTGACTTTTTCTCAAAGGTTGGAAACTGATAAAATATTTTGAACCTTCCAAATTAACATGATAAGCTATTTTCATGTTTATAGATGACAGTTACCATTATCCATCAGATATTTTAAAATAAAAAATAATTCTATTAAGTTCCATAAAAATAAACTTGATAGACCATTGCACAATAAGTTATACCTTGACATTATTTTATGGTCTATATTTAACTTTCCATATATTTATTTAGGCATATTCTAATTAAAAGAGGTAGGTATAAAGCTAGCGAAATTTCTGAATTTCCCCGTACGTTCCATTATCCGTTACGACTGAAGAGTAAAACAAATGTACACATAAAGTTTTTTGCTATGTTCGTTTTATATCCAAACCTTTTTGGTGGTATCTGTAGGTATATTTTCATCATACTCGTATTATCCTATTTTCAACTAATATTCAAACATGAAAGTTCGTAAACATATATATGTAAACGTTTCTCTATTATCTACTCAATCCTATTTAAATGATTAAACGGATTTTAATGAAATTTGGTACTCAGATAAACATTATATATTAATTTTGTCGCATTTCGCGTCAACTAACTAGTAATTATTTATTTATTTATTAATTATTGTACACAAATATTACATTGTTATTATTTATTTTGAATAAAAATGTACAAAAGGCGAGCATAAGTCTATAAGAGTTTTCTTGCGGCAAATTCAAACTGGAAAAAAGCATTTTTTATAATGTATTTTTTTACTCAATAAAATACGTAATAAAATTATTCTTCAATTTTTACAAGTATTAGACCATGTTCAAGATAAAGTCTTTAATAAAAAAAATATATTATAAATTGATAGATAATTTATTTGCATTGGTTACAGCACACAAATAGCAACAGTTATAGATATAAATATATGCAAAAAAAGAAACAAAAGAATACATATACAAAAAAAAAAAAAAAGCAAAAGGAAAAAACATAAAAGAAGTGACATAATTTTTCATTTCGTATCTTCACAAATGGTGAACCAATTTAAACATTTAATCGAATCGAAACCATGTTTTGAAGTCGGAAAAAGGAAGTCTCCGGCACGTCTCTGTCCATATTATCGTCTTTTTGTGAACGTCTGATAGAAAATAGATGCTTTTAAAGTATTAAGGCATACTTTTTGAGGAAGTTTTATAACATAATTATATTTAAAAGATTGACGTCTTAGCTTTAACGCTTTCGATAAAATAAGTGCTCTACTTGAATAAAGGAGTTAATATTTAAAATTTCTTTTTTAGCACTGGTGCATTGTGCATATAGGAACAATAGAAGCTGAACAATACATTTTAGAAATTTTGTTTATCTACCTTTCAGTTTATAGGTTTATTTCGGTATTACGCAAACACAAATGCAGCAAATTGAAAACGATTTCCACTGTTGTGTTCCTGAAAGTCTAACTTAAAATCTGGTATATGTTTTATTTTGATACACTATCTAGAAATGGACGATTTCATCAGTTTTCCTATTTTTGAAATATACGCGTACCACGTAGCAGCCAGTATTTTTTTTTTAATGGATGACAATGGAATAGTTACCCCGCCTGCGCTATACACTAGCGGGGCACTAGTGAGGGATGACATGTGAGGATGACGCAGGTCAGTTAGCCCATCGTGACAAATTCACTAATGAATCAATCACGATGGTTTCCAGGGGGAACCGCGAGGACATCGGCCTGGCAGGGTATATTGTTAGTAATAGGGTTACTAATCCCCATTTCTAACAATACCTTTCCCCTCAGGCAAAGTGTTAGTAGGTATATTACAATCTTATATATTTATATAACAAGTTAGTAAGTGACGGTTACCACTTTGATCGCAGGTGCTACCCTTAATCCTTGTTCCAGTGAGAGAACCGTTGGCTTATTTGCCATTTTAAATCATCATCTTCATCATCTTCTTACCCTTATCCCAATAATTTGGGGTTGGCGTAATATGATTTTGTCCATATTACAAAAAGACTTGGTTTTTAGTTTTACGACCGGCCACTTTTACCACCATTTTAAATATCATAAACAAATCTTATGATGTTACTTATAATCACACTTATTATAAAATCTTGAACGGAGCCACAATAAGCATTATTTCATACTGACAGTAGCTAACGGATAATTTATTAATTAATAATATTTATATTCATATTATAAATTTCAAAGGAATTTTCTTCCGCGCGAACGCTTAGACAGTGAAATGAGCTCCCTGCTGAGGTTGCTCCTAGAGACTACAGTATTCTTAAAAAAAAAAATATTAAGGCTTCTTCAGGGTCGGCAGCGGCACGTGACACCCCTAGTGTTGCAGGCGTTCATAGGCTACAGTGACTGTTTACCATCAGACGCCCGTCTGTACGCTTTGTGATATAAAAAAAAATCAAGAAGATTTTTTTGTTTATAAATAATCTCAAAAGATACTTAACCCATTTTTTTTCATGTATAGAAAGCTACGTCATAAACGAATAATATGTACTATCATCATCATCATCATCATCCTATATTGCGTCATAGTCGTAGAATACTGACGGATCTATATATGTAATATTTGTCAGATCCGTCAGTATTCTACGACTATGACGATTGATCCCAATTATTATTTGGAGTTGGCGTAATACGGGAAATAAATGGAAACATTTATATTCTTCTTTATTAAAAAAAACCCGTGCGAACCTGGGATGGATCGTTAGTTACTATATGTATTTATTTAAGTAACTTTATTCACCAGATGAGAATATAGTACAAAAGATGGATAAATTGACTGTATTGTTCCCCTAGTCTCTTTTTATATCATCCCAGGGATGAAAAGGAATGATGACACATTATAATAGTACTTCGTCACCACATGGACTACAGGTTGGCATATTTATATAAAACAAGCGAACCGGCGCGGCTTCACACGGTTTTTTTTTAAATACAAGTAGAATTTTTCAAAATAAAAAAAATCCTTATCCAAAAAGGGTTGTTACTTTTAATAAGATGGATCTTGATAATGTTATTGAATTATTTTATACTAACGATTCGACCCGACTTCGTACGATTAGATGAAATTTTAGAAAATAATTTATATATATTTATATATATATGAATATTTTTTTTAGAATCGGTTGAGTTGTTTTTAAGTTTATCCATTACAAACAAATATACAATCCAAATCTTTCTTCTTTATAATACTAATATAGACTGGTATAGATATAAATTAACTTATATAACCAATAGAAATATGTATTTTACAGTAATTATGTATTTTAATTTGCAAATAGTCTAATTGCGGGATAATTAAATAACTTGAACAACAGTTGTAGCAATAGCTTACAGCTATTTATTAATTTTTTGTCAATTAGCTGTATCTGCATCAGTATATATATTATGTTAGATTATTTTCCATGCACTAAATTTCATTGAAAAAGTTTTTGATGGATGATACAAATGGTATGTAATAGTACATAACTTACAAAAAAATAACTTACAAGATAAATATTGTTTATTAAATCATTACTTACAAAAAACATGTAATTAAAAAAAAATACTCTAAAAAAAGAAAAGTGACATATATATATAACAATTTTATTTTCCATATTATTAAATTTATCAAGTAATAATAAACATGAAACAATATTTCATAGTTTCATAATACTCGTTAAGTTTAAATACATATTGTGTTTCTTATACTTAGCATATTTAATAAGCAATCTTACAATCTTTTACCTAATCGAAACAGTAGGACAGTGCATTTGTTAATTGTTAATTTACTTATTTATTTAAATTTTTATGACCAATAAAATGTGGTGCAAATGGTGGACTTAATGCTATAGGCATTCTCTACCAGTCAACCTTTACGATGTACAGAAATACTCGATTATATTAACTTCAATTATTTATTGCATTTTTATATTGTAACAATATATGTATATCTTAAGCACTAAGGATATAGCTATAACCTGAACCCTGTAAGGGCACAGCAATCATTTTAATGAAGGTTAAGTTAGGTACATAAAGTATACAATTCCATTTTTATACCTGCGAAGTTAAAACAATATTATAATTACGTTGATATTATTGCTCATTATAATTTTTTGTCAGTTTATTTAATTTTTTTTTCTGCAACTTAGAATGGCAAACAACCTGACGGCCCACTTGATGGAAAGTGGTAACCGTCGCCTATAGACATGAGCAGTAGTACCATGGACATAACAGAGTACACTGTTTCGCCCATGATACCTCTCATGTGTTGCCATTCCTGAGGACTCAGGTGTTATTCCTCTGTACATTGTAAATTCACTGCCACAAGTTAAAAAACAATTACAATAAACAGTTTTAAAAAGTACGCTATAATTGTTTACTAAAATATAATAATATAAATTATACTAATATAATTTCAGATAGTTTAAATCCCGGTGTTTGCAAAGAAGGTAAAATGCCCAAGCTGACGAATGAACACGCATTAAAAATATTTTTTATTTTATAAAAATTGAATTTCGTAAATACGCAGATGTTAATCATTATGCTTTTGATGTCTTATTTCACGTTTAAACAAGTACATGTTCAAAGCGAATTCGCCTCATACTTTTATGTTCAATATTAATTAACGTAGCGTAAACATTTGTAGAACATCAATCTCAATCATGACGAGAGAATCCAAGAGAGAATATTAGAAGTGTACAATGAAAAGAAACATTTCAAAAACTTTATAGACTTACAATGTTGAACGGCACGGCTGAACGGGGCGGGTTATCCCTGCAGTCATCACCCGTGAAAGTGTCTACGTCTCCAGTCAGAGCATCCCCAAGTCCAGTGAGGGCGCCGTCGTCGCCTTTGAAATCTTCCCTGTCGAGTGGTAGAACGCGTTCACCTCGGCGCTGTCAGTTCGCAGCGCCTGTCGAAGATGCGAAGGATAAATGTGGGACGTCGTGGTTGTGTCGACGTGGCGCTGGCATTGGAGACGAATCTGAGCCTGAGCGATCGCCTGGACCCAGCGCGCTACCGCAAGGTTGTGAAGAGTCCGCGCCGCCGCCTAAGAATTGCTTCAGATTGGTGATGTTAGGGTAAGTACAGATTATTTATAGCTATTGTTTCTTATACAGAGTTAAATCGAAATCATCAGTATGGATTTTTCAAAATAACATCGTCGTTCGTCCGTGTGGTCCCGCCATACAATGGGCCACCTCAACTTTTCCCGTGGGAATCGTAAGAGGTGACTTTATGGTCGAGGGATGAGTAGCAGCGTTCCTCTTAAACATTATCAAAAGCTAATTGCAGTTGCCAATTTACTTGCCAAGCGTAGCACCTGCTGGCAAAACCCTCCTTTATGGGAGAGGCCTATGTTCAGCAGTAGACAGTTAACGGCTGATATGATGATAAACATGGATCGATAAATGACGAAAATTCCCGCTAGCATATAACATTAGCGCAGGCGGGGTTACCATTCCATTATCAATCATTAAAAAAAAAGTATAAGAGGTTCTTACCATTTTTGTTGCATGATTCTTGGGTAAAAATTGTTCAGCACTTCTTTGAAACGATGCTAATTCTTTCGATTTTTATCCAATACTTAGATATTTTTGAGTTTATGAAAAAAACACGGATCATTTTTAGTCACGTGTAACAATTAAAAATAACTACATATATCAATAATTTTATTCAAATTATATTTTAATGTAATAACTAACGGTGTAACTTATGTTTAAACTTAACTTTTGTTCAAATTAATATTAGAAGTATTAAAACAATATTTAATAATGTTAAGAGATTACCAAGAAAATTAATATTAATTAAATATCGGTCAGAGGTAAACTGTTTATTGAAAGTAGATTAACTGTGATAGCGTTCGGAGGATAATAAAGAGCGGCTAGTAAACTTTCTTTGATAACTAAGTCTCTTGGGTATCTTGTGTTTATATGCCGTTATATATTTATTTGTAATATATATGTATATGTAAATATTTTTGCTTTACAGATTTACCAATACACTTACTAAAAACCATAGAACATTATAATAATATATTAACGGGAAAAAATATTTTAAATACATGTATATATGTATAAATAAAAATATTGTTCCTTATAATGGTGTTAAGTCCACTTTTACAATATTTAGGTTTAATGTATTAAACATCAATAAATAAAAAAAATAAGATATTGCTTTAATAAAAAATACTTTCTGTTGTATTGTATAAATCTTTATTGTACATACTTTAAATTGGACACATTAAAAAGATTTAATATACAATAGCGGACTTATCCACAGAGGGATCTCTTACAGTTAGTCTTTGTGGAAATACAAAAAAAAATCTATAGAATGTGTCATGAACTCATCATGAACTCATGTCTATAGGCGACGGTTATCACTTTCCATCAGGTGGGCTATCAGCTTGTTTGCCATTCTAAATTGCAAAAAAAATACAACTAGTTATAAATATGAAAGTTTGTATATGTGTCTGTATGTTTGTTACTCAAACTTTTGATTTGAATAAAATTTGCTACATGGGTAAGTTACTTGTATATTTATATAGATAGAGTGTCTCTATAAAAATGCTTCGCGTCAACAAAATAAACGGGTCAACTTTTTTAATACAATTTTGCATGATAAATTGTTTTGTGTTATTCATTTATAACTTCTATATTTATTTTATCTTATAATTTCTGCATCTTTTTAATATGTAAACATTAATTTCATTTATTAAGTAATATGTCAAGATACACTTTATGGTAAGTATATAGAATAATGACAAAAAAACGAGTCAGCAAATTTGATAATTAGCTGACAAAAAGTTAACCCATTTTTGAGACTCGATACTCTATCTATATAGATAGAGTCATCATATATAGTCGATATAGTTAACGTATGGGATCGATTTTTTGTATACTGATGTACGTGAGCAATGCCGCGAGAAACAACTAGTGAGAAATATAAAAGGAAACAAATTTGAACACAACATTGTGCAATAATGTGACACTGTTGTTGACAATACACATGCGGCCAAATTGCAAATTCCGTCGTGTCGAAACGGTGACGGCCGTGATTACAATCTGTGTTAATACTCGTACCTACAAAATATATCGCGCCATAATGCTCTTACATGAGTTGTGACAGATTTTGTTATTGGATTTATTTTTTAACAGACTTCAAAAAAGAAAAATGTTCTCAATGCGATTTTACTTTTTTATTGCATTCATAAAAAAAAAGCTTATAAACTGATCTATTTGTACAAAGATGATTTGATTTCAAATTCATGTTTACCTCATAAATTACCTCATAAACCGATTTGGAAAATTCTTTTTCTTATCGGAATTATTTCGTGTGTTTACACTACTTTTGAAGTACTTACAGATTGGTGTAATAAAAATTTTATAATAATCGTTTCAGTAGTTTAGTTTTGAAAATAAAATTTTTACCACAAGTGAAAACTTTTTTTTTGTGAAACACAATCTTAATTGTTGTGAATTGATAATAGAATGATAATTCGGCCAGCATATACTGGCGGAGCAACAGAGAGGGATTATAGGTGATAACGAAAGCAGCTCAGTTAGCCTATCGTGTTGAATTCATTACCCCTGTGGTTTCAAAGGAGGTACACACGGAAGTCGACCTGCTGGGGTATATTGCTAGCAATGACTTAGAACTTAGGACTAACAGTATCTTCCCCCAGCTACGACAGTGAGGTAGTTAATTCTATTAATACTATTGACAGCGAAATTTTGTAAAGATATTTATGAATGTTTGTTACTCAATCAAGCCTAACTTTACGGATTTGATAAAAACTTTAGTACGCGGGTAGATTAGCCTTATGTAATGTATCCTGTATTACGTAAGGCTAATCTACTTTACGAGTATATACCGATCCACCTGGGCAAAGCCGCGGGAAACAGATAGTAAATATATATTGCGTATGACATCAATGCATTATTGAGTATTTTTTTGTTAAGTCACATATAGCTAACTATCAAAATAAAATTAACTATGTTATATGTCTCTTAATCATCATCATAATCATCTTATCAGCTGTTAAGATAAGTTACTGAATATAGACCTCTTTTTCGACTGTCATAAAGAAGAGTCCTGAGTCACCTGCATTCAAACGGTCCCGAGTCATCTGCATTCACTAACTCAATGCAATGCATTTGAAATCGTCGCTCCACCTAGCGAGAGGGTCGTCCAATACTGCGTTTACCTGTACGGGGTCCCCACTCAAGGACCCTTCTTCCTCACCAATAAATATCTTATTGAGCATAATATCACTCTACAAAATATTATTTCGATTTTATTGCTTGACCGATTTTGCTTTTAGGACATTATCAAAGTAAATATTGTAATATTTGCCTTTCAGATTGCGCAGTGGTTCCGTTCACGTCAATGAAACAGAAATAATATTTAATGAAAATGTAACAATTGTAAACATATACAAAGGGGTAACTTGTATTGAACAGTGGTATTGTTCGTCTTTTAATAGCGGCCGGTGTAAATTTCAATGTTATTTTATAATTACTAACACCTTTTTGCAAATAATATTAAAGATAATCGAGTTTAACCGTCGTTCCACAAAAAATTAAACTTGTGACACCTGTCTGTCACGCCAATTGAACGCCTGTTCAATATTTGTTTTGCGGTTTATTACAAAACTGTATCCAACATCTGTTTATGTCTAAATAAAAGAAAGTTTTTCATATTAAAAATAAAATGTAAGAAATTTTAAACAAAATCAATACGTTTATTGAAATTGGCTCATAAAATATAAATAAACATTATGACATCCACTAAGCAATATTTAATCAATTAGATAGAGTTTTGTTAAACACTGTGTTTAAATTTTTTTTTTTTGCTGAGACCCTAAAAGTCTACAAATCTGTGCATATTTAAATACGTAAAGTGTTTTAAATTCAAATCTCTCAATTGCAATGTTATTTAGTTACATGGTCCCCTTATAAAGTTTGTTCATTTTAAAAACTAGAACTTGACTTTGTAAAAGTAACTTTTTTCGTAACAAATTTCCTGTGCCTAATTTCTTCAAGGTCGAAATTATCTTTTTGTCTTTTCTTTCTTCCATTTGCTTTTTTATTTCTATAGTAATACTAAGAATAAAATTACAATGATTTAAAAAATTACTCTATTCAAATAAAAAGTACACACATTATCTATTTATTTATGTATCATTTGTTTCTTTAAACTAAAATACTTGGCCCCTTATTCATAAAAGCTAACACTTTTGTAATTTTCTTTCAAATTGGGAGTTTAATTCAAAAGAAAGAGACAAAACAGTTCCATAGCTGATTGTTCAAGGTTTATACTATATTTAGGTTTGACGTTTTTATGAATAAGGTGATACTAATATGATATGATATGATATGATATGATATGATATGATATGATATTGTTTCTGCCTACCCTAATGGGAGACAGGCGTGACAGATATATGTATGTATGTATGTATGTGATACTAATGGAATGAAAATCCCACCTGCGCCAACGGTATACGCTGAAGGGGCACCAGTGACGGATAATAGGTGAGAATGAAAAAGCAGAGCAGTTAGCCTATCATGACGAATACACCTGAAGTTCAACACGATGGTTCCCAGAGGGATCATGTGGAAATCGAACTGATAGGGTACATCTACTACTCTACTATTACTCCTAGGGTTAGTACTAATACTCATAGGGTTGCTAGCAATGGGACTGGTATTCCATATTACTAACAATCCCCCCCCTCTGTAAATCAGAGTTACACTATCGGAAAAACAGTGTAAATACGAGTATAATACTTTACTGTTTATACTTATATCGTCATAGTCGTAGAATACTGACGGATCTGACAAAGATTACATATAAAGATCCGTCAGTATTCTACGGCTATGACGATATGTGGTAAGGGACAAGAACACAAAGAATCGATTACGTATATATGTATGTATGCATGTGAATTAGTAGTTCACAATGTGCCTTTGATCGGTGAGGCGCGAAATTAATACATAATCTCTCTATTGATTTTACAGTTATTAGTTTACAACCAATATTTTATAATGATTTAATGTCATAGTTCACCAGTAGGTAC